TTGTTGTTTTTATTGTCATTATTATTATTATTATTGTTATTAATGATGATGTTCTTATTCATTGTTATTATTATTATTATTATTATGTTCATTATTATCTTCATTATTCTTATCATTGTTGATATTGTCATTATTATTAGTAGAAGTAGTAAGAGTATCATCACACTTATAATTAATGTTATCATTATTATTGTAGTTAACATGATTATGATTGTAACATTATCATAATATTAATTGTTATTAAACAATGATAATGTCATTAATTGTAATATTGATAACATTAATGATGATGATGATAAGATAGCGATAACAATGATAATGATAAGTAATGATAATAATGATCAGAAGGACAATGATGATAATTATAATGATAATACTAGTAATAATAATGGTAATAATGATAGTAATAGTAATAGATATGACAATGAAAATGATAATGCAATGATAACTATGATAATGGATATGATATTAGTAATGATAATAATAATGATAATATAATGATAGTAATAATGATAATGATGATACTATCGTAATAAAGAAAATGGTAATAGGAATAGTGATTATGATAATAATAATGTTAACGATAATGATAATGATAATTAGTATTATATTATTATCACTATTATTAGTAGTATCATTATAACCATGATGGCAAGAGCAGTATCATTATTAATGATGATAAATTTAATAATGATAATGATGATGATAATGATATTAATGTTAACAGTTATGATAACAGTAATAGTAGTTATAGCAATGATGATAATAATAATGATAATGATAATACTATATAGACAAGGTATGAATGAGAACGGATATTTTCACACTGCAAGAAATGTATTTAATCGGTTTCGAATTCATCTTCAGAAATATATGATGTATATTCGACAAAGAGATACTCGAAGTCGGTTAAATACATCTCTTGTATTGTGAAGATATTCATTCTCATTCATACATTTTCTACATTTGGCACAGTGAATGATAACAGCATTGATGATAATAACAATGATAATCATAACTGTAATATTAATGTAATGTTGATAATGATGATATAATTTTGGTGATAATAGTGGTAATGATGATGAAAACTACATAACAGCTTTAAGGACAATAATGTTTGTCACATGAAAATAATGATAAAAGCAATAATGATGATGATGATAACAACCACGACAGTAATACTCATAATGATGAGGAATAATGGTAATAATGATACTGATGATAACCATAACTATTATATTAATGATGATGATAACCATGATCATTATCAGTTTAATAGTAATAATGTAAAAACAAAAATAATAATTACACAGGAATAGCAAGCATAACAATAATGATAGAGTTAAGGACAACCATGATAATGCTGTCCTAACAGCAGATACATAGAATAACATTAGCATGCACATATCACTAATGTAATGCAAGTATAGCTTGGTTACACGGCTTTCTTTCCTTCCCATTTTCTTCGAATATCACTCGTTCCCATTTTCTATGAATGTCCGTTTCCGTTTTCTATACCGCGTCTCTTTCTCGCACAGACTACGTCACAATACCCGAAGATGTAAGCGAGATCCCGGTGGCTACCCCTCTGTCACCCCCTCCAGACCCCTCCTCCTCTCCTTCCCCCTCCCCTCCCCTGGATTCCTCCTCCCCCTCTATAGCTGAAGACCCCTCCACATCCACCCCCTCTTCTTCCCTCCCCTCAACCCCTTCTCCTTCTCAAGATACATCCACCCCCTCCCCTGACGCCTCCTCGACCTCCTCCACCCCCTCCCTGACGCCTCCTCCACCCCCCTCCCCTGACGCCTCCTCCACCCCCTCCCCTGACACCTCACCTCCTCCTCCCTCCCCTGACACCTCCTCCTCCCCCTCCCCTGACACTCCACCCCCTCCCCTGATGCCTCTTCCCCCTCCCTGACACCACCTCTGACACCCCCCTTGACCTTCCTCCCCGTCCCCTGACACCTCTTCCCCCTCCCCTGACACCTTCACCCCCCCCCCTCCCCTGACACCTCCACCCCACCCCTGACACCTCCTCTCCTCCCCCTCCCCTGACACCTCCACCCCCTCCCTGACTCATCCTCCACCCCCTCCCCAACACCCCCGGGGGAGTGCGAATACTCCGACTTCTCTCCGAGTCACACGGCACTCCTCCCCGAGAGACCCGAGTGTCAGATCCACAAGGATGACCTGTCCGAGGAGGAGAAGGAGCAGATCCTCCAACTCCACAACGAGCTAAGGTCAAAGGTCAGGTCAAAGGTCAAAGAGGTGAAGGAGCATGATGAGATATCTGAGGCTGTGGAGATTTTTTGTGATAAAAATGATAATAATGATATCAATGTTAATGATGATAGTATTAATGATGTTACGTGTAATGATGATAATGGTATTGATAATGACAATAATGTTTACAATGATAGCAATGATGATAACATTAATGATAATAATAGTATTAATGATATTTAGTGTAATGATAATAACTATAATGATAATGACAATAATGATAATAATAGTAATGATAACATCAACGATAATGATAATAACAGTACTAACAATGAACTGTATTCATGTTGACAATTGTAGAAAATGTATGAATGAGCATGGATATCTTCCCAATATAAGTAATATTTAACCGGTTTCGAATATATCTTAGTTCTTAAGATATTCATTCTCATTCATACCTTTTTCAACACTAACGATAATGATAATGTTAATGATGATAATAATGGTGAGGGTAATGGTTAATAATGATAATAATGATGATTATGATAATGATGAATGATGATGATAAGAATAATAGCAATGATAACAATAATAATAATAATGATAATAACAACAATAACGATAACAACGATAATGAAACTGCTTCGACTACTACGACTAATAACAACAACCACAACAATAACTTCGTAGTAGCAGCGACAAGGCTAATGACAGTATTATGGCAGGTGGCACGCGGGGAGGAGCAGATGGGAGCACCTGGACCACAACCACCTGCGGCCGACATGCGGGAGCTGATCTGGAACGATGAGCTGGCACAGGTGGCACAGGTGAGTAGGGGAGGAGGGAGGGAGGGAGAAGGGGGGAGGGTGTGGGAGGAAGGGAGGAGAAGGTAAGGGTGGGGATGGAGGAGGGAGAGGGTGGGGATGGGAGAGGGAGGAGGAGAGAGTAAGGGGGGATGGGAGGGAGGAGAAGTAAGGGAGGGGGGTGGAAGGGAGGAGGGAGAGAGTAAGGGGGTGAGAGGGAGGGAGGGAGGGAGAGTAAGATGGGAGGAGGGAGAAGTGGGGTGGGAGGAAGGGAGGGAGAAGTAAGGGGGGATGGGAGGAAGGGGAGGGAGAAGTAAGGGGGGATGGGAGGGAAGGGAGAGAAGTAAGGGGGATGAGAGGGAAAAGGGTGGGGGATGGAGGGAGGGAGGGAGAGGGGGGGTAGCAAGGGGGTATGGAGAGGGTAGGAGGGGTGAGGGATGGGAGGGAGTGGGTAGACAGAGAAGGGAGGAAAGGGGAGAAGAGGAGATGGGGAGGGAGAGGAGAGGGAAGTGAGAGGGAAAGGGGAGGAGAGGGAGAGAGAGAGAGAAGATGTGTGTGTGTGTACATATGTATGTACATATAAATATATATATATATATATATATATTATATATATATATATATAATATATATATATATATATTTAATATATGTACATGTATATATATGTGTGTTGTGTGTGTGTATGTGTATATATATGTATATGCATATATATATATATATATATATATATAATATATATATATATATATATATATATATATATATATATATATACACACCACACACACACACACACACACACACACACACACACACACACATATATATATATATATATAATATATATATATATATATATATATATATTTATATTATATAATATTATATATATATATATATTATATTTTATTGCATATATATATATATATATATATATATATATATATATATATTATATATATACTATATATGTGTATATTATTTGTGTGTTGTGTGTGTGTTGTGGTATGTATATGTGTGTGTGGTGTGTGTGTGTGTTGTTGTGTGTGTGGTGTGTTGTGTGTGTGTGTGTGTGTGTGTGTGTGTGTGTGTGTGTGTGTGTGTGCCCTATGGAAAGCACTTTTCGACGAGATCTCGGGTGTGCACAAAAAAAAAAGATGAAGTGTGCAACGGTTGCCAAGTGCGCACTTCCAGAGTGCACTCCTGAAACTTTTCAGGTAACAATATTTTCAAAGTCCATTAAACTATTAGTAAGTCCCTCGTTCCATATCGATGTTACATAATCATTTTGATCGTTTGACTACCTTAAATCACTTAAGTGTGCATCTACCGTACTTTTCATACTGGTGTGTGTGTGTATATATGTGTATGTGTGTGTGTGTGTGTGTGTGTGTGTGTGTGTGTATGTTGTGTGTGGTTATAATTATATATATATATATATATAAATATACATATATATATATATATATTATATATATATATATATATATATATATTATACACACATACACATACACATACATATATATATATATTATATATTATATATATTATATATATATATATATATATATATAATATATATATATATATATATATATATATACATATATACATATATATATATTATATATTATATATAATATATATATATATATATATATATATTATGTGTGTGTTGTGTGTGTGTGTGGTGTGTGTGTGTGTGTGTGGTGTGTGTGTGTGTATGTGTGTGTGTGTGTGTGTGGTGTGTGTGTGTGTGTGTGTATAGATATATTGTATATACATACATATATCTATCTATATCTATATCCATATATATATATGTATATATATATATATATATATATATATATATATTTATATGTGTGTGTGTGTGTGTGTGTGTGTGTGTGTGTGTGTGTTTGTTTTTCATTTGTTTATATATGTACCGCACTGTAGGTATGTTATATTGGCACACATGCGTGTTTCTCTTTTCTACTCCGTCTTCTTTCTCTGTTCTTCACCTCCGCCTTATGCTGAAGCCCCCTCCCCTCCTCCCCCCTAGGCTTGGGCGTCCCAATGCCCCATCGGCCACGACGACTACACCCAACGGAGGATCTGCACCCGGGACTATGAGGTCGGCCAGAACATCCACTATTACTGGGGCTACGATCCTGAAGCGGTATGTGGTCCTGTAGTTTCTGTTCTGTCTGTTATTTCTTTGTCGTATGTCCTTGTCGTTTTTTTTTTTTTTTTTTTTTTTTTTTTTAAGGGTGTCTTTGGTTTTATCATTTCAACTGTTCTCATTTACCATGCGTTTGTCATTTTTATTCTATTACTATGCCTTTTATCATTTCTATTAGGTTCTTAATTGCTATGCCTTTAAATTTTTCCCGTTCTCCAATTACTATGCCTTCATCATTTCTATCATGTTCTTAATACTATGCCTTTATCATTTTTATTCTGCTCTTAATTACTATGCCTTTATCATTTTTCTATTCATGTACTTAATTACTATGCCTTTATATTTTTCCCGTTCTTAATTACTATGCCTTTATCAATTTTATGCTGCTCTTAATTATTGTGCCTTTGTCTTTTTCCTGTTCTTGATTACTATGCCTTTTTGAACATCGTACCAGGTCATACCATGATTGTTTTCGGCAAATTTTTATATTTATTTTATTTGAACATGAGAATATATTTCAATATTGCTTTAAATACAATACAAGTCATCTGTATTCATAAATATTTTTAAAAAATACTGCATACGGAAAAAAATCCGTAGTGACGTCACCATCTGTCGGTCGTCTTTTGTTTCCGTTTAGCAGACGAATTTCCGTAGAATTCCAACCCCGATTCTTGCGTGTGTTTGTGTGCTTGTGCTTGTGTGTGTGTTTATGATGTGTTCGCGAGAGTGTGTCTATGTGTTTCTCTGTTTTCATGTGTTCACAAGTGTGTGTGTGTATGGTGTGTCTTTTATTTATGTGTATATGATGCAGTAACTTGTGTGTACATATCCATGTGTATACACCCACACATCCATTTCTCTACAAGCCCTCGCAAAGGTATTCCCAACACCCTTACCAAAGACTCAGCCAAACCACTACTAACACCCACTAACACCCACTAACCACTCACCACCACCCACCACCATCACTAACAACCACATACCTCCACTACCACCACCAACCACCCACCAACCCATCCACTACCACCCACTACCCATCATACATCTACTAACCACCACCAACCACCCACCAACCAACCACTCCACCCAACCACCACCCCACCCCACTAAAACCAATCCACACCACTACCATCCACTAAACACCCACTTAACCACCACCCCATCACTAACCACCCACCCACACCATCTCCACTAACACGCCACTAACCCATCCACCACCACCCACCAACCAATCCACTAACACACCAACCCCAAACCTTCCACTAACCACCCACAACCACCACTAAACCACCCACTACCACCACCAACCACCCTAACCATTCCACTACACCACTAACATCCACTAACCACCCACTAACAACCCACCAACCACAAAGCAATCGCTCTAACCCCCCCCCACCACCACTAACCACCCACTAACCATCCACTAACCACCCACTAAAACCAACCCGCCACCAACCACTACACCCCCAACCATCTTAACCACCCACTCCCACCCACCAACCACCCACTAACCATCCACTAACCACCCACACCACAACCAAACCACTAACCACCACACCACTACACCCACTAACCTCCCACTAACACCCACTAAACACCACCAACCACAAAGCAATCGTCTAAACCCCCCACACCACCCATACCACCACCAACTCCACTAACCACACAACCACCCCTAACCATCAACTAACCACCCACTAAACCATCCACTAAACCACCCCATACACCGCACCACACTACCCACCCAACAACACCACTAACACCCACCAACCACCCACCAACCACCCACTACCCACACAACATCCACTAACCACCACCAACCACCCCAAACCACACTAACCACCCACCACCACCACTACCACCACTCCAACCACCCACAACACCACCAACCCCACACCACACCAACCACCACCACACGCATCACTAACCACCCACCACATCCACTAACCAACAAACACCCGACCACACCCAACCAACCATCCACTAACCACCCACCAACCACCCACTAACCACCACAACCACCATAACACCACCAAACACCCACTAACCATCCACAACCACCCACTAACCACCACAACCACCCACAAACCCACTAACCACACCACCACAAAGCAATCGCTCTAACCCCCCCTCCCCTCACCACCATGGACTAACCACCCACTAACACCCAACAACCACCCACTAACCACATCCACTAACCACGCCACCAACACCCACAACCATCCCTAAACACCCTACCAACCCGCCAACCACCCCAACCACCCACTAAACCACCACCAACCACCCACTAACCAATCCACTAACCACCCATAACCACCACCAAACACAAAGCAAATCGCTCTACCCCCCTCCCCCCTTCCACCACCAGGACTGGGAGCGACGCAGTGACGTCATTGGCTATTGGTGAAGTGAAGGACATGCCCAACAGGACGTTGTGGCAGCCTATCATAGAAGCAGCCCGTACGGTCGAAATCGGACACTTTACCCAGGTGGGGCAGTCTGCTTGGGTGTGTTATCGTTTGTGGTGTGTATTTGTTGTTGTTTTGTTGCTCCGCTGCTTTAGTAGAGTCAGCTCGCTTGTTGTTTTTGCCTTTTTGTTATCGTTCACTTATGTGTCCTTGTAGTTTTGTTGTGTCTATGCTTTGCTTGTGCGACGTATATTTGTGTTGTTTTTGTGTTTTGTGAGTATTATTCTGTTTGTGTTGTTCGTTTCTGTGGAGTTATTTGTTGTTGTGTGCTTTGTGAGTAGTATTTGTTGTTTGTTGTGTTTGTGAGAGTCAAAGAGTGTTAGTTATGTTGTTGTTTTGTGACAGTGTATTTGGTTGTTTGTTATTGGCTTGCTCGTGAAAGTGTATTATGTTGTTGTTTATTTTCTATTGTGAGTAGTATATTGTTTGTTGTTTTGCTTTGTGAGTAGTATTTTGTTGTTTTATGTTGCTTTGGTGGTAGTGATTTTTGTTATTGTTGTTTTTGTGACATAGTATTTTGTTGTTGTTGTTGCTTCTTGAGGTATTTGTAACTGTTGTAATTGTTGTTGTTTTGGTGTATTTGTCTGTCTTGTGCTTTGTGAGTAGTATTTGTTGTTGTGTTGCTTTGTGGTAGTATTTGTTTTGTTGTGCTTTGTGAGTAGTATTTGTTGTTGTATGTGCTTTGTGGTAGTATTGTTGTTGTTGCTTTGTGAGTATTTTGTTGTTGTTGCTTTGTGAGTAGCTTTTGTTGTTGTTGTTTTGAAGTAGGTATGTTTGTTGTTGTTGTTTGCTTTGGTGGCTGTATTTGTTGTTGTTATTTGCTTTGTGAAAAGTATGTGAGTAGTATTTGTTTTGTTTGTTGCTTGTGAAGTAGTATTTGTGTGTTGCTTTGTGAGTAGTATTTGTTGTTTGTATGTTGCTTTGTGAGTAGTATTTGTTGTTGTTGTTGCTTTGTGATAGTTAGTATGTTGTGTTATTGTTGCTTTGTGGTAGTATTTGTTGTTGTTTGTTTGTGGTAAGTATTTGTTGTGTCTGCTTTGTGAGTAGTATTTTGTTGTTGTTGTTGGCTTTGTTGAGTAGTAATTTGTTGTTGTTTGTTGCTTTGTGTATGTTGTGTTATTGTTGCCTTGTGAGTGATTTGTTTGTGTTGCTTTTGTGAGTAGTTATGTATGTTGTTGTTGTTTGTGAGTTAGTAATTTGTTGTTGTTGTCTGCTTTGTGGTTCAGTTTTGTTGTGTGTTGCTTTGTGAAGTAGGTATTGTTGTTTATTGTTGTTTTGTGAGTAGTATTTGTTTGTGTGTTGCTTTGTGAGTCAGTATTTGTTTGTTGTTGTTGCTTTAGTGGAGTTAGTATTTTGTTTTTTTGTTGCTATGTGAGTAGTATTTGTTGTTGTTTGTTTGTTTGTGAGTAGATTGTTGTTGTTATGTGTTGCTTTGTGAGGTAGTTAGATACTTGTTGTTGTTATTGGTTGCTTTGTGAGTAGTACTTTGTTGTTGTTATTGTGCTCTGTGAGTAAGTATTTGTTGTTGTTATTGTTGTTTTGTGGTAGTATTTGTTGTTATTGTTTGCCTATGTGAGTAGTATTTGTTGTTGTTATTGTTGCTTTGTGAGTAGTATTTGTTGTTGTTATTGTTGCTTTGTGAGTAGTATTTGTTGTTGTTATTGTTGCTTTGTGAGTAGTATTTGTTGTTGTTGTTATTGATTGCTTTGTGAAGTAGTATTTGTTGTTGTATTGTTGTTTTGTGGAGTAGATGTTGTTATGTTGTTTTGTGAGTAGTATTTGTTGTTGTTATTGTTGCTTTGTGAGTAGTATTTGTTGTTATTGTTGCTTTGTGAGTAGTATTTGTTGTTATTGTTGTTGGTGAGTAGTATTTTGTTGTTTGTTATTGGTTGCTTTGTGGGAGTAGTTTTGTTGTTATTGTTGCTTTGTTGAGTTAGTATTTGTTGTTTTATTGTTGCCTTTTGGTGAGTAGTATTTGTGTTGTTATTGTCGCTTTGTCTGAGTAGTATTTTTGTGTTAATTGATTGCTTTGTGATATTATTGTCATTGTTGTTATTGTGCTTGTGATAGTATTTGTTGTTATTGTTGCTTTGTGAGTAGTATTTTGTTTGTTATTGTTGCTTTGTGAGTAGTATTTGTTGTTATTGTTGCTTTGTGAGTAGTATTTGTTGTTGTTATTGTTGTTTTGTGAGTAGTATTGTTTTGTTATTGTGCTTGTGAGTTATATTTTTGTTGTTATTGGTTGCTTTGTGTAGTAGTATTTGTTGTTGTTACTTGTTGTTTTGTGAGTAGTATTGTTGTTATTGTTGCTATGTAGTAGTATTTGTTGCTTGTTGCTTTTGAGTGTATTTGTTGTTCTTGTTGCTTTGTGAGTAGTATTTGTTGTTGTTGCTTTGGTAGTAGTTTTGTTGTGCTTGTTGTTCGTTGAGTGGTAGTATTGTGTTGTTATTGTGTTTGTGGTAGTGTTGTTGTTATGTCTGTTTGGAGTAGTATTTGTTGTTGTTATTGTTGCTTTGTGAGTAGTATTTGTTTTGTTTGTTGTTTGTGTTGTAGTAGTATTTGTTGTTGTTATTGTTTGCTTTGTGAGTAAGTATTTGTTGTTTTTATTGTTGTTTTGTGAGTTAAGTATTTGTTTGTTATTGTTTGCTTTGTGAGTAGTATTTGTTGTTATTGTTGTTTTNAGGTAGATAAATGGGTTGAGAGAATAATAGCTGTGTGCGTGTTGTCCAAACGTGTGAGGACAGTATATAAAGCATATATCTATGGCGGCTGCGAGGGAGCGGGCGGTCTTGGCGGCGCCTCGGGAGAACGTGTAACTAAGTTATCTTCTCTGCGGTCAAAAAGAGGTCTGTGGATCCCCTGCCGCGGGTCCCTCCGGCGGGCGGGCCACTCCTGCCGCGGTTCCTGTGGGCTGTTGTGCCAGGCATTCGTATAGGGGGCTGCGGGGCTTGGGAAGGAGCGTGACTGCGGGTGTTGTTCTAGGGAAGGGGTTGCTTTTTTTCCTTTCTCTCTCTCTCTCTCTCTCTCTCTCTCTCTCTCTCTCTCTATATATTATATTATATATATATATATATATATATATATATATATATATATATATATATATATATAAAACCACACACGCGCATCCATATTTCTTTTTTTTCCGAGAAAACCCTTCCTCTATCCCCTTGGCTATCTTGGCCACGTAATGTCTAGTCGTCATCTGAACGAAAATTTCAAGAACACCCAAGCTGCTGCTGACGGTCGAAGAGAATCTCGCCTCCCATTGGCCGGGGCCGACGCGTAAGCCCCGCCCACTCCCCAGCGCGCTCGCCTCGCAGCCAATCAGAAGCGTGTTTGGCCAAATATTGATCAGTGTGGACCAATCAGAGCACAGTTGTTTGACTAAAGTTTTGCGCTCTCCAGCCACCATTTTCCAAATATTGTGCCCAAGAGCGCGGTGAGCCCAAATCAAATTTTCCAGGATATTGGTTGTGTGCGAAGCGGACCAAAGCGCCCCCGCACCGCCGCTAAACACGCTAATGAACGCCAATCAGGGACGTAAGTGCGCCGTTCATGATCCCCGGAGCTACGGAGGCCGGCGGTCAGCGGGCGCGCAACGGCCACCCCGGACGCGGCAGCCGGAGCCGTCCCCGCGAACTCGGCCGCTTCGGAAGGGTCGGGCGTCTCTTTAGAAAGCAAGTGGCGAGGGGTTCTTACATGGGATTTCTTGGCGCCGTGATCCGACGGGCCAGAAAAATGACGTTCAGATCGATGAAAGACCTCACAGGGATTCGCTATTCATGCTGATTTTGAGTGGTCGGCGAGGGATTGGTTCTCGAAGCGGCCGCGGATTGGGATTAGGAGCCGGGCGCGCGAGGCAGACAAGTTGAGGACGCTTTAATGAAGTTGAGATATCACTTTTATTTTCTTTGGCGAGCGGAGAATTCGGTAACGGAGGGTGGGAGAGGGGGAGGGAGGAGAGGGGAAAAAGGGAGGAGGAGGAGGAGGAGGGGAGCGAAGAAAGAAAGGAAGAAGGAGAGAGATTCCGTACACGAAAGTTGCGAAGAAGCATACAAAGAAACAGGGGAAGAGGGAAGGACGAAGGAGGGCGGAGAAAAGAACCGAAATCCGAAAGAGGAAATTGGAATAATGAGAGACTGGGTTTAAAGCACAGAGGAAGAAAACCCGAAGAAGGGACGAAAGTCTGGACCGCAGCGGAGGTGGATGAGAAGGGGTAATAATAAATACTAAAGGTGATAGAGGAAGAAGGACACACACGGGGAGCAGAGAGGAGCGAGACCCGACCCACGCCCTTGGCCAGCCCCATCAACCCATCGATACCCCGCCATCGCCTCCGTCAGCCACCGCCGTGCCTTGGCGACCCGCGTGAAAAACAAAGTGACTCCCTAATTACCCGAAGCGCCAACCGCTAAAGTCCCTTAAAGAGAATAGGATTTGGCTTCCCTCTTGAGACTCTCGGCGAGGGGAGTATTGATCAGGTAGACACTGGGACTGCGAGGATAATCTGAGCAGGATGAGGATATTAAATAGCGCAGGGAGGAGGAGGGGGGGGGGGGCGGACGCTGATGTGCGGGACTCGGAGGCTAAAGAAATATTTCGCTTTAGAGGGATGTTCACTCTGGGGGAGGGGACGGGGTAGGGGGTGGGGCTGGGGGGGGGGGGGGTTTTGTGCGTACGGAAATCGACACGTATTTAAATAGAATTTAATCGTTTAGACGTGCATCTTCTGATACACATACATACAAGCAAGTGTATCGAAATTATGGACTTAACACGTACGTAAACCGACTTGCATTCCTTTAGACATACCACTAATACACATATACACAAGCAAGTCTAACAAAAGTATGAATTTTACACCCTAACAAGTACATTCGCACATTCACTCTCACACATACGCTCACAAACCCGTATTTGGCGGAAGATTCTAGACGTAGACTGAAAAAAACAA